TTTTCCACCACCATTGGAAACTTTTACAAATTCAGATTTCAATATTATATTACTGACTTCATCTGTTATAGTTTGCACTCCAAAATTTCTTCCGTCATGTTTCTTATAGCTATACTCTTTCATTTTATCCGCCTGATCGCATTGATGTCTAAAATCTTTAACAAATATAATAAAATAAATTCATTATAAATGTAATAGATAAATCATAATGATATTGATGATGATGATGATGATGATGATTAGGATACTTTTTAGTGAATAATAATCCCCAAGTCCAAACCACATTAATCCACTTAATAAAGATTCGGGTAATCTTGGTCTAACTCCAAAATATAAATTAGGTCTATATGTTCCCCAAAATAATGATTCATTCGCTGCTAAATGCATTGAATAATCTTTTTCATGTAAATTTGAAGAATTTGCTATCCCAATATTTAAATATAATAACGATAATATTTTTAATAATAGCATTATACTAAATTGTAATAAAGTATGCTTCCGTAACATTATTTTTATATTTATGAAAAAAATAAAATTTTCGGAATGCATCCAATTAAACGCGTTAAACGAAAAATGAGCAAATTATCTGATTGGTTGATCTGGATAATTTATGTTTGAAAAATTTTTTAAATAAAATTTTTTATCAAACAATATAAATTTAATTACTCTTAGAAAATGCTAGTGTTATTTGAATTAGCTTCAGGATATGCCGTTTTCAATGTAAATGATGATGGTGCAATAAAAGATCCAGAGGCTTCATGGAAAATATTTGATTCGCAAAAATCTATAAAAAAAAAGTAAGTGAATCCAAAATAATTTTTTTAGTTCTACATATATATATATATATATAGAGTATATCTTTTTTTTATATTAAATTTTTTAAATGTAATTATTTTTATTCAAACAGTATTACTGTTGAGGCTATGCATAAATTTAAAAGCATGACAGATGCAGTAGCTTCACTTAATACAGTTATTGAAGGAAAGCTATCTGACGATTTATCGAAATTTTTAGGCAATATTATCGAAAAGAATCCAAATAATGTGTTGGCAGTAGCAGATGCTAAACTTGGTGCTGAAATAAGTAAAAAATTAGGAGTTCAAGTTGTTGCAGATAAATCCGTGATCAATCTTTATCGTGGACTTCGTGAACAACTTGAAAATATACTTCCCGACTCAAAAGAATTATTATCCGCAATGTCACTAGGTCTTTCTCATTCGTTGTCACGACACAAACTTAAATTTTCAATTGATAAAGTTGATACCATGATAATTCATTCTAGTGGTTTGTTGGAAGATCTAGATAAAGAGATAAATACATATGCTATGAGAGCAAAAGAATGGTACGGTTTACATTTTCCAGAAATGAGTAAAATAGTTGAGGACAATCTAGCCTATGCAAAAGTTATCAAGACAATTGGGCTTCGTTCAGATGCTCAATCATCAGATTTATCAAGCATATTACCTGAAGAATTAGATAAACAAGTAAAAGAGGCAGCAGAGGTATCGATGGGTTCAGAAATAACACAAGACGATCTTGAAAGTATTTCTCAATTCTGTGATCAAATTATTAATTTGTCTGAATATCGTGCTCAACTTCATGAATATATACGAAATAGGATGAAGATGATGACTCCTAATTTAACAACTTTAGTTGGTGAATTGATTGGTGCAAAATTAATATCGCATGCTGGAGGTTTGACAAACCTTGCAAAATTGCCTGCAAGTACGGTTCAAATTTTAGGAGCAGAAAAGGCATTTTTCAGAGCAGTAAAAGCAAAAAAATCTACACCCAAATATGGAATTTTATATCATGCAAGTCTTGTTGGCCAAGCATCTGCTAAAAATAAAGGGAAAATTGCCAGATTAGTTGCAACAAAATCTTCTCTTTCTGCTCGTGCTGATTCTTTTTCTGAAGAAAAAGATGTCGATGCCGAAATGGGAAATAAGTCTCGTAAATTTATTGAAAAAAGACTTAATATATTGGAAAAAACCAAGGATGTTTCATCATCAACAACAAAAAAAAAGAATAGCAAAATGCAAGGTCTTATTTCCACCGCTACTTCCTATGATCCTTCTGCTGATATCATAAAGGAATCAATACAACCAATGGAAATTTGCAAAGATTCTGATAAATCTGAAGAGTCCGAGGAGATTGTTAAAATGGAGATTGTTGAAGAAACTCAAGATGTTGAAAAACCAAAGAAAAACGACAAAAAAAGAAAAAAAGATAAGGGAGAATCTAAAGCTGATGAACAAGAAGAGTCTGCTGAAATAAAAGGATCAACCAAAGATAAGAAAAAAGACAAAAAGATTAAAAAAGAAAAGAAAAAATTTAAGGCTAACGAACAAGAAGAATCTATCAAATCTAAATCATTAAGCAAGAAAGGTAAGGAAAAATCTAAAACTGACGAACAAGAAGAAACTGTCGAAGCTAAATCGTCAAGTAAAAAGAGCAAGGAAAAAACTGAAACTGGTGAGCAAGAAGAGGAGCCTGTCAAAGCTAAATCGTCAGGTAAAAAAGGCAAGGAAAAACCTGAAACTGGTGAGCAAGAAGAGGCACTTGTCAAAGCTAAATCGTCAGGCAAAAAAGGCAAGGAAAAACCTGAAACTGGTGAGCAAGAAGAGGAACCTGTCAAAGCTAAATCGTCAGGTAAAAAAGGCAAGGAAAAACCTGAAACTAGTGAGAAAGTAGAGGAACCTGTCAAAGCCAAATCGTCAAGTAAAAAGAGCAAGGAAAAATCTGAAACTGGTGAGCAAGAAGAGGAACCTGTTAAAGCCAAATCGTCAAGTAAAAAGGGCAAGGAAAAACCTGAAACTGGTGAACAAGAAGAAGAACCTGTCAAAGCCAAATCGTCAAGTAAAAAGAGCAAGGAAAAATCTGAAACTGGTGAACAAGAAGAAGAACCTGTCAAAGCTAAATCGCCAAGTAAAAAGAATAAAGAAAAATCCAAGGCTGATGAACAAGAAGAATCTGCTAAAGTTAAATCATCAAATAAAAAGCGCAAAGCAAAATCTAAGGCTGACGAACAAGAAGAATCTGTTGAAGCTAAATTGTCAAGTAAAAAGCGCAAAGAAGAATTTGATATACAAGAAGAATCTGCCGAATCTAAACCGTCAAGTAAAAAGGGGAAAGAAAAATCTAAAAATGATGAACAAGAAGAATCCGTTAAATCATCAAGTAAAAAGGATAAAGAAGAATCTAAATCGTCAAGTAAAAAGGATAAATCTGGTAAAGTGAAGACCGAAAAGAAAGAATCGGTGCAAATAGCAGATGTGGAAGAGCACGGAGAGACTTCAAAAAGTGCCGAAAAATCAAAGAAAAAAGATAAAAAGGATAAAAAGGATAAAAAGGATAAAAAAGAATCAAAAGCTACAAAACGTAAACATGACGGTTCAGATGAGGGTAAAGATGATGGTAAAGATGATGGTAAAGATGAAAAAGGTGAAACTTCAAAAGAATTTTTTATTCAAGTCTTTTTTAAATTTTATTTTTGATTAATTATATATAAAAATTTTCTTTTATTATAGAACTTGATCCTAAAAGAAAAAAGAAAAAATCAAAGAAATAACTGAAATCTGACCTCCAAAAATTCTTTAAAATTTCCAATTTCTGTAATATTTTATTTAAATTTTATTTATTAAAAATAAAAGTTTTTCATCACGCACGATCCCTTGAAAAAGAAAAAACAACAAAGGGATGTAGCAAATAGTAAAAAAAGGAGAGAATGTCCATAAGTTAACCTACTAGTCGGGAAGAATACAACCAAGAACTGGCCCATTTAAAAGACCAATTTAATTGATTTTAATCAGCACAATCACGAAAACCCAGAGTTTATGGAAAGAAAAATTACAATAATATTCGTAACAAAGAATTTATTGAAAAAAGAGGATTTCTCATCATTTGCTTTAAAAATATCGAAAGAATTGGTAGAAATCAAGTCTCGAAAGAAGCTTTATTTACCAGTATTTAAAACGCTGAATTATTTTAATAAAGAAATGGGTTCTACCACTTCTATCCCTGAAACGGAAAATTTATCCGACTCTTTGCTTTCTCGTTTAGATTGAATTAATATGCTAACATGGCTCAACCGAAGAATTTTTTTTTAGAATAAGCATTACACTCCTCATTAAAACTTTGATCCCCGAAACTCCTGGTAACAAAAGTGTTCATTTTGTCTGGTTTTGTTGCAAAATCACGGAGAACCCAAAAGCAAATTGACTAAAAGTTTTCAGTAATTAATGCTGAAATTAAATTAGTAATAAAATAAGAACTATGTTAATATTTACATTTACTCGCGTTAATTAAATTTTTTTTACAGAATCACTAATTACTATTAACAAATATTTCTATGTAGTAATCAAGGATCTTTCTATTTACATGTAGTGAAAGAAAGACTGTTTAAATTATTGTAAGAATTTCTAAAAATTGTTTTTTAAAACATCAAAAATATTTATAAGTTACCATGTTGTTTGGTTAATTCTGAACAATTGGGTGTATGAGAATTATTTTCTCTAAGAAAAAGAATTACTTGTTATTTCATTTGGTTCTTTAAAAATTTCTTCGATAGTTTCTTTAAAATTTTTCCTTCTTCCCGTTTAATATATCTTCCCAAAAATTTTTTTCGTTCACCTTTCAGCTCTTTTAATCAAATCGTTCAAATTAGATCGCTATTGAGATACGAATAGCCTGTTTTAGCAATTGTTCATTAACTTGCCTCTTAACTTCTCATCTACTTTACTAGATACAATTCTTTCCAATATTGTTTTTGAGATGATGGCGGTGTTGCTGTTGGCAGCGAATATTTCTAAGCTTCAAGTGAAGACATAAGGGACAATTTTTTCACCATGTTCTTTCTTCAAAACACTTCTGATTGTACTATAAATTCTTGGGTTTCCATGGTAGATCTGATGTAAACGAGGTTCATATTTATGGTTTTATTTGTATAAGTTAACAGATGGGACATTATAAAATCGTTAATATTAATAGTAAAATCCGAAATCCTTGGTAATATATTAATGATTTATGATTTATATAATCACTAGAATGAAAGATGTTCCCATTTGAATAATCTTTTGAATATAGGTCATTTTTTAAATGATAAATAAAAATTATAAAGTAGAAATCAGATACATAACGGATGTTTACGGTAGGCCAAAATGGAAGCACATTAGGTACATGTTTATCTGATAAGTCATCTGGTAATCAATCAATCACATGTGTTATTTTAACCAAGGATACTTATTTAAAATAACTGACCCTAGCAATAGTAGTAGAAGTAGTGATAACAATGAACTCCATAGAGGTGGTGATGATGATGATAATAACAATGGTGATGGTGGTTTATAAAGCATTTTTATATACAGCAACTTTTTATTTTTATTTTA